CCGGAGAAGGGGGTTCTGAGAGAGTCTGGAGGGGTATGTGTGCAGGTGGAGGTGAGCCTGAGGGAAGCTGCAGGGATGCAGAGACAGGTTTGACCAGTAAGCATTGGGGTGGGGCCCACGCTAGGGTAGATTTCTGAGTCAGTGAGGGTTTGGGGATGTGTTCATATGAAGGGGCGATGTAGGGTGTAGGGAAGCAAGGGGAAGCACCTGACAAGTGGTAGGTGCTACATTACGAGTTTCATGTCTCAGAAACCCTGAATTAAGTACAGTCACACACTGCATGGTGGTTCATCCATAAATAATCCTCCTGCTAATGCAAGAGATATGAGTTTGATTCCTGGGTCATGAAGATCCCCTGGAGAAGGAAATGGCAACCTGCTCCAGTATTATTCCTGGGAAATCCCATGGACAGAGGAGCCTGCTGGGCTACAATCCATGTGGTAGCAAAGAGTCAGACTCAACTTAGTGACTAAACAACAGCACACTCTGCAGATGTAGAGATGGAAGCCCCGGAGAATGGGGTCACTAAGGCCTCACAGCTAGTAATGGAGTGACAGTCAAGCCCAGTCCTGCCTGGCTTCAGAGTCTTGGCCCCTTGATGAAATATCCAAAACTAAGGGAGGGAGTTGGAGAGATCAGGCTCGTGGGAGGTGTTTGAACCATCAGTCTACTGGTTTACAGCGTTTGTCAAAGTGCTTAATTTCTCAAAAGCATGCTCCGTGCATTCGTTACTGGAAAGTGTGTTAGTGTGTACCCTGGCTTATTTGTGAACCTGATAAAACCAAACTTAAGAAACCTGGCTGACAGATTTCACTGTTAGTTACTTCTATATTTAAGTTACGGCTCGTAAGTAAAAGTAATAAAGAAGCGTCACGTAATTCAGTGTTTCCTTTGTTTATGGTGGTTCTAGGTATACCGTAAGTACAGCCATTGCGAACAGGAGCTTTCTGTTGAATACCAGGCAGGGCAGAGGCGTGTGTGGGTGAGAGTTCCTGTGATTATCCAGGCAGGTCTTCTGGATCTCAGAGTTCTTTAAATTCTACAAGCTTACAGACCAACTAATAAACCAAACCGTAAAACGTTTACACTGCCCATTACTGCCCATAAACGTTACTCTTTAGTGGGCTGTGTTCCTTTGGAAAGATACATGTCAAAAATCTCCAGAATCATCAGAACTTGTGCTTCAATGCTCTGACCTTAGAGAAGTTTAGACCAGATCAGGACTGGGCTGTCACTTGGCCTGGTGGTCCTTAGATGATGACTTGAAATGGTTGCAGGTGACATTTTTTATCTCTCTCCAGTATTCTTTGTCTTGAATATTTACATTTCCTTCTATTTCCATCTTCCTTTAAAAAAAAAAAGTATTTAGTCTTCAATAAATGAGAAACTACTAAATGGCATAGTCAGATGGAGACAATTATGGTGACCTGTGTGTGTATTTAGGAAAGTCAAAGTGTTAATTGCTCAGTGATGCCTGGCCTTTTGTGACCCATGGACTGTAGCTCACCAGGCTCCACCGTCCATGGCATTTTCCAGGCAAGAATGCTGGAGTGGGTAGCCATTCACTTCTCCAGGGGAACTTCCTGACTCAGGGGTCTTCCTGAACTAGGGATTGAACACGGATCTCCTGCATTGCAGGTAGATTCTTTACCATCTGAGCCACCAGGGAAGCCCATTTAGGAAATTACATGTTAAATATTTAGTATTCTGAGAATGTATACTTCTTTTTTAAAATTTTATTGAAGTGTAGTTGATTTACAATGTTGTGTTCACTTCTGCTGTACAACAAAGTGACTCAGTCACACATATGTGTGTTCTTTCTCATATTCTTTTCCATTCTGGTTTGTCACAGGTTATTGAATATTATTCCCTGTACACTTGTTTCTTTAAGGTGCCGTCCTGACAGCGTTCTGTGGTTCTGTATCCTTGGATCCCACACACGTGACACTCGGGGCTATGTGTGGGGTCACAGGTGCTTGCCTTCCCTGTGACTGCTGGGCTCGACCTGGTCTGTCTGAAGTCTGTCCTTTCTCAAGGAGCTGGTCCTGCCCTAGGGGCTGAGAGTCCAGGAGAGAGGAGCCAGCCCCTCCTTCAGGGGCTCTGGGCTCCCTGTCCATTTGTCCCAACCTTCGGACGCAGCTCTCTAGTCTGTCCCCAGGTTTCCAGTGGTGATTTAAAAACGGCCCCTGCTCACATTTTCTCTCACCCGTTTAGTTCGTCCTCTTAAGATGATTGTGCCATCTCCCCTGTTGCTCCACTGCTGTTTCCAGCTCCAGGTCTGCAGCCTCCCGGGGTCACTGGTACCCGGACAGCCTTCTGTCCGTCACGCCTGCAGTGAGCCTCGCCGCCCCCCTGCCGGTGGCTCGCTTCTGAGGCGGAGCTCTGCATGTGGTTGTCGATGGTGTGCGTGGTAGCGCGTGATCTGCAGTCCGTGTGCTTCCCTTGGATCAACACACTGCTCCCTTCCCCGCCACGCGGGGTGGGAAGTTACTTAGGAAACTGAGTGAGTTGGAAACTAGGACCCAGATTATCCACTACAAATAGTTCCTCCAACTAAAGCTAGACTTTTATACCAACTGTCTCAGCCTCCTGGCCCCCTGCTCACAGGGGAGTCTCGGAGAAGAAGCCCTTGAATGACCTGGGTTGGGTCCTGTTCCTGCACCTTGATAGAGGGAGGTTGACTGAAATCCAGTGAGAGGAGATTGGCATGCTTTCCTCTCACTGTGTGTACATGGGCACGTGGACATTAATGATTATATACATTTTTTCAGGGGCTTCCCAGGTGGCGCAGTGGTAAAGAATCTGCCTGCCAGTGCAGGAGACGCAGGAGACATGGGTTTGATCCTTGAGTCAGGAAGATCCCCTGGAGTAGGAAATGGAAACCCACTCCAGTATTCTTGCCTGGAGAATCCCATGGACAGAGGTGCCTGACAGGCTACAGTCCATGGGGTTACAAAAGAGTCAGACAAAACTGAGTGACTAAGTACATATACATCATGTACACACACAGCACATATACTTTCAGAATGTAAGTCCCTTGAAGGAAAGGTCTTCGTATAGATTCGTATAGATCTATATATCTATGTGCGATACCCAGCGCACTGAATTTCTGATAAATGCAAAGCACTGAAGGAACTTGAGCTCCAAATGCACATCTTTTAAATTTCCAAATTTTCATTTGCTTTGACCATAAGGACCAAGTCATTGTCCTCTTGCTGTGAATTTGTGACACAGGGATTGAGCAAGAACTTGCCGGAACTTGTAGAAGGAAGTTGTGGCAGCCATGTCTGTACTTTCTGTTTTGGAGAATGTGTACAAGGGTAGGAGTGAGGTGTCACAAGACTCTGTGAGTTAGAGTGGGAATTTGTGGTCATTATGTGTGTGGGCATTTTGACTTTTTGGTTAAAAAGTCTAAGAAATGAGAGCCATCCTTGGGAAACTGGGCTCCATTAATTCAAGAATCTCTTCTGTCATATTCTTCGTTCTTCACGTTTAAGGTTATTTGAACGTACACTCAAATAAATGTGGGCCACTAGATTTTGCCTGATTTGCTATTTTCAATGGAGAAATATTCTAAACCATGAAGGTTTCCCTCCTGGATGTAGTAGAGGAATAAATGTTGGTCCCAAGAAAGTTCTCGTTCAGCCCATTGTCACTTTTTCCCCATCTGTGAGAAAGAGATGAATCAAAGAGATTGAATCAAAAAGCCTCAAAACAAAGGAACCAGATCACCTGTTAAATGTAGAGTATGGCAGCAAACATCTTGAGTTTCCATCAATAGCCTCCCCAATAATAGTGCTGTCTTTTTAAAAAATTTTTCATTTGTTTGTTTATTTATTTTGGCTATGCTGGGTCTTCCACATTGTGTGGGCTTTCTCTGCTTGCAGTGAGTGGGGCTGCTCTCTAGCCATGGCAAGTGAGCTTCTCATTGTAGTGGCTTCTCTTGTGGGGCGCAGTCTCTAGGGTGGGGGAGTTCAGTAGTTGTGGCACCCTGGCTTAGTTGCCCCGTGGCTAATGGGATCTTCCCAGACTGGGGATCGAACCAGTGTCCGCTGCATTGGAATGTGGATTATTAACCACTGGACCACCAGGGAAGCCCTAGTGTTAAGTCTTAAATACATTCATCAGTGGCCACACTTGTACCTTTTGGCCTCGTCTCGGTAACATAGCTCCCTAGTCCCATCTGATTTTAGGTGGTTGTTGGAGTTGATTTATGTATGTAGCACATGGTTCCTGAGTAAATATCACTTCATGATTAAAGCTATACTTTTCAGGGAATATTAAGTCATCCTTCCAAACCTTGTGATGGGGAAAATGGCAGTAGAATCCTACACTGTATTCTGACAGTCTCCGTTATAAAGGGAATGAGCAGGGGCTTCCCTGGCAGTCCAGTGGTTAAGGCTCCACACTTCCACAGCAGGGGCACAGGTTCGATCCCAGTTCAGCAAACTAGGATCCCACAAACCACACACAAAATAAAGGAGAGTGCAGTCTTCCAGAAGGAAGTGGACTTTCATGTTCTGGTTTGGAGCGAGATTGCGGGCCTTTTTGTTTATCTGTGAGCATTTGATGATGTTTATGAGCCCCTTCTGGGAGAAGGCCATGGCACCCCACACCAGTACTCTTGCCTGGAAAACCCCATGGACGGAGGAGCCTGGAGGGCTGCGGTCCGTGGGGTGGCTGAGGGTCGGACACGACTGAGCGACTTCACTTTCACTTTTCACTCACGCGTTGGAGAAGGAAATGGCAACCCACTCCAGTGTTCTTGCCTGGAGAATCCCAGGGATGGGGGAGCCTGGTGGGCTGCCGTCTATGGGGTCGCACAGAGTCGGACACGATTGAAGTGACTTAGCAGCAGCAGCAGCATGAGTCCCTGCCGCCACTGTAGATCATCACAGAGCTCTATAGCTCCCTGTGCTATCCAGTAGCTTCCCACCAGCCGTCTATTTTAGACGCCTGACAGCGTGGTGAGGAGTTGACCCCCTGTGTCTGTCCTGCAGCATCCCGTGCTGGACGAGCCCATCGCCGAGGCCGTATGCATCATCGCAGACACAGACAAGTGGAGCGTCCAGGTGGCCACGAGTCAGAGGAAGGCAGTGGACAGCACGAAACTCGGCCAGGACGTCCTGGTGTCAAGTCAGGTGTCCAGCTTACTGCAGTCCATCCTGCAGCTCTACAGGCTTCACCTTCCCGCCGACTTTGTAAGTATGTGTTCTCCAGTCATCAGAGAAATGGCCTACAAAAACACTTACCGCAGTATTGTGGTTATAAAGTCACGAGCTCCTGTGTATTGATTTTAGTGTAATTGGATGTTAGCATCAGTGGAAGCAGCGTGTGATACAAAACCAGCATATGGGCTAGATTCAGTAACAATAGTCCTTCTGGAAATGGAGCATAGAGACATCATCTCTTTGAACAAGTTACATGAAGAAGTAGGTATCATGCGGAGGCAGGGGTCAAGCATACAGGGAAATTTAAAATACCCTCCTTGGGGAAACTTATTGGTTTTTTCGTCATCAGTTTGGTGCCAAGCCAGCCAACTTTCTGAAGGGACTGTCATTCTACCTGCTCAGGGACAGTCCTCCCAGAGTTGTTATGGATAAAGTAGGATATTGTTTGTGTCATTACTTAAAATGTTAAAGCACCATAGCCATCGGGGGTGGTATCAATTGTTCCTTTTTGAATAGGATTTTGCAATCACTTTGATAACATTATATTAAATACAGACAGCAGACACCCTGAACTCCTAGAAAGTGATCAACAGTTCTCCCCGAGTCTCTGGAATAATATACACAACAAATTTGTGTGTGTGTGTGTCCATGTGCACGCACACGCATGTGCAGAGAGGTGAAGAGAAAACACACTTAAGGAGGGAGGGAGCCGGGTTTCCAGTTCAGAAAGGCGTGTACCAGGAGGGGGGGAGCTCCAGGAGCTGGGAGGGACCCCCCTGAGCTCGCCTGCCTTCTCAGCTCCTCCTCCCTCCCCTGTCTGTGCTCAGCCCCTCGCCAAACAGCCAGTGTCTCGCTGCCAGCCTCCGGCCTCCACAAGAGGTGCAGGGCCAGTAGCAAGCACGTAGGCGGCTGGATTACGGTCAGCTCCCTGGTTGCTCGGGAAGGGTTATTCCCCTGAGTTCTTGTGACCAGACCTGCAGGGGCACCACACCCCTTGGAAAGCCAGGACTCCTGTGTCCTTGGAGGGGGGCTTAGAAACCCTGGGGTGCAGTGTGGTATCACAGGGACATCGCGGGGGTCACTTCTGGGCTTTGCCTGTTTGGTTCCTTGGGCACCTCAGGACGTCAGCTCTCCCCTCTGTGAACACGGTACCTTTGCAGCAAACGCATGAGCGTGCCCTGAGGCATGCTCTCCACCTGGCCAAGCCCAGGGCCAAATGAGGCCCCTTTGCAGCCAGTGGACAGTTGTGGACAGTGGGCTTTCAGTGGCCTGGACTCAGACCCAGGCTCCTCTGCTTCCTAATCATGTTCCTTGTCAAAGCTGGGGAACAGCAGAACCCATCCCATCTGTTTATGGAAATTAAGTGAGCTAATTCACTTAGCTGGGGCTAAGTGAATTACTGGAGCTAATTTACTGGGACTTCCCCGCTGGATCAGGGGTAAGGAAACTGCCTGAAATGCAGGAGACCCAGGTTCGATCCCTGTGTTGGGAAGATCCTGTGGAGGAGGGCAAGGCAACCTACTCCAGTATTCTTGCCTGAAGAATCCCATAAACAGAGGAGCCTGGTGGGTTACAGTCCTTGGGGTCGCAAGGAGTTGGACATGACTGAAGCGACTGAGCACAATGCACCTGAAGCACTTGGAGCAACACTGGATGTTGTACACACTCGTAAGACGGCTTCTATTGGTGTAATTGTTAAGAATAACTACTTAGGTGAAACAGTGTTCACGGCTGTGAAGACTGACACCACCTACTCATTGAAACCTTTATTTGGCCTTTAAATGGCAGGACCCCTCTCCCCGTGGTGACCCAGGAGGCACCTGTGGCTTCTTACAACCTGACTCTTGTTCTGCACTTGCAGGCAGTTTTCCTTCTAGTAGCAGCGTGCATCATCCTGATATAGAGGCCGAAATTTGCTTTTCTGTAAGAAAGGAGAGATCTATTTGATGATACAGGTTTTTTTTTTTACTGTTTTAAGTATTTACCAAACTTTTATATTTTATTCTGTAATCCATATCTCTCACTACAGTTGATATCTTAAGTTATCCCAGCAGTAAATTACCACAGTTAATTCTTTTTTTACTTCATTTAGACATGTTACATTTAACCACAAAATCAAGATCAAAGAAAATTTCATCTGCAGTTTAAAATTCTCCTTAAAATTCACTTGAATGAAACATACAATTAATTTCCTGTTGGTACTTTGAATATGGAAAGAGAAAGTAGCTATTTAAAATTTCAGAAGTTAAAATTGAAGAAATCCATCTCAGAAAGGAAGGAGCGGATCCCCAAATAGTTCAATTTCATAATCAGGCTTTGTCAAAAAAAAAAATTTCTAAATGCTTGAATTTCAAGTTTCATGTACATTCCACATGAACCAAATTCTATTTCTACATTGCAACACACAGGTTTCCTGGGGACTATGAAAATGCTGTAAATTCACTATTTTAAACCATAAAGGATTCAACATAATGTAGATGTTCCTTTTAATATTTTATAATGCTCTTATTAAAACTTTGTATTTACTCCATAATGAACTGAAGCTGAGCGGGAGCCCCTTCCCCCACTGAGCTAGGCTTCCTGAGGGGAACGTTTCCCTGAGAGCTGGTGAAATCCTCCTTGCTTTGATTGTTACTCTTACTCACTTACCAGTTGTGTTTCATCCACACAACACAACGCACTTAAGATTTTAAGTCAATGGAAAAGACTGCATCTCGAATGCATACTTTGTCTATGTCACTGATCAGCCCAGATGGTCAAGCTCAACATTGTCAAGTGCATCTGTTAATCTTTTTACCTTGAAGACAGCAGGCGTAATGGTCTAGAAGAGAATCATGTCAGATGGACCCTTGCCAGAGCCATCAGGTGACTTGCTGAGGTGCCTGATGACTGCTGCCAAGCGCAGAAGCATTTGCCTCTGGTGCAAAGCACAGATGGTTGCTGTTCTCTAAAACACGAAGTTGGACACAGTTCCAAGGGTAGAGATGTCCTGAAAATAATTGCCTCTCTTTATTGTTATTAGAGACCTAGTTAACATACACTCTTGAGAGACAATAAAAGTTCAGAATAACCTTGTTCCAGTCATTTTTCTGGGAATGAATTGTACCAAAATAATCTGAGGTATAGAAAACAACAACAGAGATGCTCTTTATAAAAAGGCATTGGTAAAGAATTTTTAATAACATGGGGAAGGGATTATTTTAAAGTTTTTTGAAAGGCGAGAATAATTGTACTTATAGAATGATTTCAACTATGTAAAAAGCAAAAGCTTTTTTAAAAAGACTCAAAGATATATATGAAGATCTTAACAGTCATTGGAAAAGGTAAACTTTCTTGTTTTACAAAAACCTGTTTTTTAATTTTTTTTAATTTATATTAGAATATAGTTGATTTATAATGTGGTGTTAGTTTGAGGTGTGCAGCAAAGTCGTTCAGCTATATATACACATGTGCTAAGTCATGCCTAACTTTTTGCGGCCCCATGGACTATAACCTGCCAGGCTCCTCTGTCCATGCAATTTTCCAGGCTAGTGGAAAACTGGGATACTGAAGTGGAGTGCCATTTCCCACTCCAGGGGATCTTCCTGATCCAGGGATCAAACTCAATTCTCTTGTGTCTCCTGCATTGGCAGGCAGATTCTTTTGCCCATATAGGTATTACACAGTAGTGGGTAGAGTTCTCTGTGGTATACAGTAGGTCCCTCTTGATGACAAAACTTATTCCTCCGAATGGTAGGATTTGCACTGGCTTGCAATCCCTTAAGTATATTTTATAGAGATGAGATCACAGTTGTGTACTTAGGAAGGATGGAGGGCATTCCAGCTCTTGAATCACTGGCGGAGATCTGAGTCCCCAGCTCATCCCGAATGTGGTTGGCTTTGCAGTGCGTCATGCACCTGGAGGACAGGCTGCAGGAGATGTACCTGAAGAGCAAGATGCTGTCCGAGTACCTTCGTGGACACACGCGTGTGCACGTGAAAGAACTAAGCGTCGTGCTGGGGTGAGTCCTGTGGAGTGCCACCGTTGCCCCGGGCTGTACCCACTGACCCGTCCAGCCCCTGCCGCTCCCCAGGGACACCAGAGTTTCCCACCTAGAAACAGACTCTCAGACCTTTCAGCTGGAGCTCCAGGGTCAGCCTCCTCCCCGGCGTTAATTTATCCTTGAAAGTGGAGCACTATTTTTTTTAATTTATATTAGAATATAGTTGATTTATAATGTGGTGTTAGTTTGAGGTGTGCAGCAAAGTCGTTCAGCTATATATACACATGTGCTAAGTCATGCCTAACTTTTTGCGGCCCCATGGACTATAACCTGCCAGGCTCCTCTGTCCATGCAATTTTCCAGGCTAGTGGAAAACTGGGATACTGAAGTGGAGTGCCATTTCCCACTCCAGGGGATCTTCCTGATCCAGGGATCAAACTCAATTCTCTTGTGTCTCCTGCATTGGCAGGCAGATTCTTTTGCCCATATAGGTATTACACAGTAGTGGGTAGAGTTCTCTGTGGTATACAGTAGGTCCCTCTTGATGACAAAACTTATTCCTCCGAATGGTAGGATTTGCACTGGCTTGCAATCCCTTAAGTATATTTTATAGAGATGAGATCACAGTTGTGTACTTAGGAAGGATGGAGGGCATTCCAGCTCTTGAATCACTGGCGGAGATCTGAGTCCCCAGCTCATCCCGAGTGTGGTTGGCTTTGCAGTGCGTCATGCACCTGGAGGACAGGCTGCAGGAGATGTACCTGAAGAGCAAGATGCTGTCCGAGTACCTTCGTGGACACACGCGTGTGCACGTGAAAGAACTAAGCGTCGTGCTGGGGTGAGTCCTGTGGAGTGCCACCGTTGCCCCGGGCTGTACCCACTGACCCGTCCAGCCCCTGCCGCTCCCCAGGGACACCAGAGTTTCCCACCTAGAAACAGACTCTCAGACCTTTCAGCTGGAGCTCCAGGGTCAGCCTCCTCCCCGGCGTTAATTTATCCTTGAAAGTGGAGCACGTAATCCTCCTCCAGCTGCCCCTCTCTAGGCATTTCACTAGGATGTGGGAGTCACGGGCTGTGGGACAGCGGGTGTGGGCTCCTGGCCGTTTCTGGGGGAGGTGAGGAAGGCCACCCCCCTGGACTTGGAGCCCGTCTGCATGTCCCAGGTGGCCGGACTCTCCTGCCTTTTCCTGGGAGCCCATCAGAAGAGGAGGTGTGCATGTCATCCGTGTCCTACATCATCTTCTAGAGGCTGTTTGCCCTAACTTCTCTGGGGGGAAGAAATTCGGACTTGCGTTTTACTCTCTGCTCAGTTTTTCCACAGAGAAGTAACAAAACAACATTGTCTCAATAAGGCCTTGTCTCCCCTTTTCCTGTGATGACAAATCCCCCCAGTTTGGGGCAAGAAAATACCGTGTGTAAAACGTCAATCCCAAAATTCTCTATTAGGCTTGCCAGTCAAACTTGTATCATTTCAAGGCTCAGGCCTTCGCATTCTTGCTGGACTTCTCATGTCAGACCCAGGATATGACTTAACTGTATTATTCCATTCTCAGCGTTTCCTGCCATGCTTTTTTTTTTTTTAACGCAGTTCACTTTAAAAATATTCCCCCCTTCTGAGGCATTTACTTTTGTAGTTTTTGCTTAGATCTCTTCACCAGCCTCACAGTAGTCCTGCCTCATTGGGTTTCTGATGTGGGGTGTGCAGCTCTTATTTCTAGGACGCTTGCCTGGCCCCTGACTGATGGGTGCCCACCATCAGCACCCACCCCTGAAGGTGGATTTGCCTCCTTGCTTCAGGAGGCAAGGAGTGCCCCATTGGGCCCCTTCCAGCCCTTCCTCACCTGCCTCCTGCTCTCAGGTCAGCAGCACTGCGGTGCTGGGAACTTGCTGTCACCCTGAATGTCACTGCAGAAGGCAGGGAAGACACCACGAGCTCATGCCAGCTGCCTTCTTTGGTTCTATTTTTAGTTTTTAGATTTTGGAAACAAAAGACAGCGTTAGAACATGTTTCAAGGACCGAGACCATCCTGGCTTTTCCAGGACACACAGCGGCCCCCTGCCTGTGCTCCCCCGCCCTCATTGACTCTATCTCTGTTCTTAGGAGGTGGCTTTGGTGTCTGAGTGTCAAGTGCACGCTGGGCAGGGGTCTCGGTTGTGTGAGCCACTGAAGAAAGCCCAGGGGTTTTGAAGACACTGTCAACATCTTGGGTTCCCGGAGACTTGCTTGGACCCAGTGCAGACTCGGGGTGCAGTCCTGGAGTGCTGACTGGAGGAGGTGTCGTGCAGAGGCTGTGCAGGGATACAGGCCCTGGTCCCATGCACACAGCTGCCACTGCACCATCCAAGGCTCCGGGACCCTGGGAGGGCGGGTCTCAGGAACAGGCTCACCGTCTCCCTGCCTCCCTCTGTTCTGATTGCCCACTGGGCAGGCCTGGGATCTGGCAGCGGGACGCTCCTATAAATCCTGCCACTTTAATGTAACTACTTCCCCTCTCTCCACATTCAGGATCGAGTCCAACGACCTGCCTCTGCTGACGGCCATTGCGAGCACTCACTCTCCTTACGTCGCCCAGATACTCTTGTAAGCTAATGCTCAGGACAGCTCCTCCTTGAAGAAAATCGGATTCTCAGCCAGAGGAGGAAGGACGGCAGCTCCCTGCGACCACAAGGCGCCAGCAGGGCGGACGGACGCGGTCCTCCCCGCGCTGTGCTGTGTGAGGGGGAGTCGCTTCCCGGGTGCTGGCTGGAAGCCGTAGGTTTACTGACTCCAGGCGTCTGTGTTGGCATGGGCAGTCAGGCCTCCATCACCCTCGATTCAGCGTGGGTGCTGAGGGCACAGCGGTGACCAGGGACCTGAGCATGGGCCTGAGCGACGCAGGCATCATCGCTGCTAGAAACATCCCAGAGTGCAAGTGTGAGCTCCCCAAGCTGGAGGAAGCGATCCTGCTGTCCCGAGAAGGCGATCAGCACGGGGACCCTGGGCACCAGGCACCGCAGTGTCGTGAAGCCCGTGTGTACTGCCTCCGCTCCGCTGGCTCTGGTGTCACCATCTGGCAGAGTGCACGAGGGGGCTGGCTGTGGGGAGCAGAGCTCCAGGGACCCACTGCTTCCGGCCTTCCCCCACTTTCCCTTGTTTGAGATGCAGCCACGGGTAGGTTAGGGATGGACTGTTGGTGCAATAAACCCGAGAATCAATGTAGCATCCTCGTCCCATCCACACAGTGCACAGCAGCGGAGGGCACAGTCCGACCCCTCTCGCTTCGTCCTGAGACTTCAGAGCTCTCAGCAGCCTTGTCAAAGGGGCCGTTTACCAAAGTTATTTCTATAAGCTCGAGAGCATTTCTGTGGCTAAATCCCTCCAGCTAAAGCCACCTTTTTCCTGTAACAGTTAATACAGATGACTATTTACACTTTAAAAGGCACAGCTGTCCAGGTGGGAAGTGAAATTTGCAACAGTTCAGGATGACTTATGAATCAGTTTGAACATTTCTAAACAATCCATCTATGAGCTCAATTTTTACTCCATCATCTCTGTGCCTTCCAAACCCTACATCCTTTTCAAAACACCTTCCCAGAAATTGACTGCCCTGTAGTATAAAACCTGCCACAAGGCAGTATTGCTTAAGTATGAGCGTAGTTTGCTTTTTAAAAACGCTGAATTTTCTGTTGATACAAACTTTAGTTTACTGATTGTGAAGCAGGCGATGTCCTGACATCCAGGGTAAAGGAAAAGACTAGTAAATTGGTGGCTAAAAGGCAGGGCTAACCCTGTTAACAGCACACCTGTTAACACCTGCAGACCTTGAGGACGTTCATTCTAACCAGGCTCTGATCTCCTTCGTTATAAATCGATGCCAATCCTTTCCGTGTAGCTTCTGCACCTAAGTATATGAAACAACTTCCCTTTCAGGAGTTAGAATACTCTGTCTTCAGATTTGCTATGTGATAAAATCCTAATCCCAAACCCCAAGTTACATACGTCTCTGTCTTTATTCTTCTTTCCCTCCCCTGCCACCCTCCAGGGTTTACAGACAATAACTAGATGCAAAATCAGTGCAGGTAGCGGCCTGTGGAGCATTAGACCCAGCCCAGGGAAGCTGAGCTTTAAATGGTCAATTCTCAACTTCACACAGAAAAGATGTGGCCCAGCCCCTGGCAGCTGAGGAAACTAGCTTGGCCTCTGCATGCCCCCCTCCCCCAGAAGAAGGTGACGAGGGAGACCCCTCAGGACACCAGGCAGCCCGCCCCTCACGGCTGCCGCCTGCACCACAGACCAGGAATGTTGCTGCTCTTCTGTAAACCCTCCTCCTCTCAACAACATCCACCTGTTCTCTCGTAAACACAACCTCTTCCCAAAAGTGGAAAAAGAATCTCATGGAACTGGGTGGAGACACGCCAGACACCACCCCGGGGCCGGGTTCTGTCTCAGCCACAGAGGTGAGGAAGGGACCCGCCCTCGCCCAGGCCCACCTCAAGAAAAAAACAAAATTAAAAAAAAAAATGTACAAATAGAGAAAACTACCTCAGTTGACAGGATTCCACCTTTAGGGTTTCTTCAACTTTGACGTCTTACCTGTTGAGTGTACCTTTTGTAGCATCTTGCTTGTCCAGGCGAATGGGGGCAGACAGAGCGGGTATGCACCAGCGTTACCGTTCAGGCCTTCCTCCAGCATGTCGGGGTTTAAGTTTTCGTAGATTGACGAGTGATACGAATGTAAAGATACTTGTGTACGTTTAAACATGACAATGAAAACTTAAAATGTAGCTTCCATACTTGTGCATAATTCCAAAGTATTTTATTTTTATCAGTGTTAAATAGCTTTTTGTACAGGCTCCAATCCATTTTTCTGAAGTGTGCTGTTTTTTAATGAAAGTAACGATAAACTTTTCACATCCCATGGAACTGCCGTTTACACATCACAACTTTTTAAACTTATCATATTTTTCAAAGTTAACTTTTTTCGAGGGAGGGAAATCCCCGCCTGTTAAAGGATACTAATCTCTTGTTTTGGCTCTTCTAATTAGGTCCTGAGATTTTATAAAATTCAGTCAGTAGCTTTTTAGGTTCCTCACTGGAGTTGGTTGTACATAAAAATAAAGAATATAAAGTGACCCTACAGTTCTTTTAAATATCTGGATTTTTCCACTTAACATGTGCTTTTGAAAGTATTTTGTCCATGCATACTTTCACCAATAAATTGAAAAAGTCTTGAGCTTCTTGGTAAATGTGAACCATTTGTTTTCTATTGTGCTTTGGGGGCAGGAACCTTTTAATATAATATTTGCCTAAATCAAGCAGCCCCCTCTAAATGTTACTTTTTAAATGTCCACATTTGGTGAACCATAAATCTTGGAAGCAAGACTGCAATATGCTTAATTAAGTGGTGTTTAAAAAGGAGAAAATTCCAGGATTGGTTTGTTATCATTGAAGTTCCATTACAACAAATTGATAGGACTTTGTTTTTGATCAGTTAAATAGATACCAGTATCAATGTATGGAATTCTTTTTTCTTAAAACTTGTTCACATATTACTTTGATCCATTTTTCTGTGGCATCTGGTGCAATAAACCTTCTGAATTTATCTTGAACACTTTCTTGGTACTGCCTATGATTTGTCTGTTTAATCAGACTTAGACATCTCATTTCCAGTAATTCACACTGAAACAAGCCCACTGTAAATGTTAGTGACTCTCAGCAGGGGTGTTTGGTGAGCATGTAATGGGAGAGGGTTCCAGGCACAGAGTGGATGGGAGCAGAGCAAATCTCCCAGGGATAGAGAAACTCTCGTCACGTGCTGGACACCACGGAATAAGGGGTTATCCCACCTCCTGTGTGACTTACATATCCTGCTGCCGTTCATATGGGTGAAAACCTGTTTATAATGATTTAAGCTGAGAATTTAATTCTGCTTTAGATAAATGCACAACATACTTTTCTCATGATCTTAATATGTACCTAATTTTCTAGGTAATGCCACTGTTGTATAAACTGAGGCAAGATTTTACTTTGTAAGGTTTAGGATGTTAATAAGAACTGACATACATTTGGAAAACCATATTACCAGTAGCTGTGTTTATCATGGAGTTTGTCATCAACACAGTCTTCTGATCGTCTCTGCTTATAGCTACTTAGAGCTGTTGCCTTCACGGAGATTCCATTTGGAAGTAAGTGTCTGATGATTATACTTTCTAAACTACTAATGCCCCAATATTTATGTATTAAACTATATATTAATATAAGTTGTAAAATAGTACCACTAGGACATTACAGTGGTTTGTCATAAATTATGTGTGTAAGTAAGTTAGTCTGTTGATGAAAATTATGCATTTTATTTTAGGAAAATAAAGGGCATTACAAAATATTTACTATGAAATCTATCACTGATGCATACAGCCTCAAGAAAAACATGCTATTAAATGTAACTTTTGTAGCAATATAAGACCACATTGAATCATGTCATCTTAAGACTACAGTTCAGTCCTCAGTCATGTCCAACTCTTTGCAACCCCGTGGACTGACTGCAGCACACCAGGCCTCCCTGTCCATCACCAAGTCTCAGAACATACTCAAACTCATGTCCATCGAGATGGTGATGCTATCCAACCATCTCATCCTCTGTTGTCCCCTTCTCCTCCTGTCTTCAATCTTTCCCAGTATCAGGGTCTTTTCAAATGAGTCAGTTCTTTGCATCAGGTGACCAAAGTATTGGAGCTTCAGCTTCAGCATCAGTCCTTCCAAAGAATATTCAGGACTGATTTCCTTTAGGATTGATTGATTTGATCTTGCAGTCCAAGGGACTCTCAAGAGTCCTCCAACACCACAGTTCAAAAGCATTAATTCTTTGGTGCTCAGCTTTCTTTATAGTCCAACTCTCATATTCATACATGACTACTGGAAAACCATAACTTGGACTAGATGGACCTCTGTCTGCAATGTAATGTCTCTGCTTTTTAATATGCTGTCTAGGTTTGTCATAGCTTTTCTTCTAAGGAGCAAGCATCTTCTAATATCATGGCTGCAGTTACCATCTGCAATGATTTTGGAGCCCAAAAACAATAAAGTCTGTCACTGTTTCCATTGTTTCCCCATCTATTTGCCATGAAGTGATGGGACCGAATGCCACAGTCTTATTTTTTTGAGTGTTGAGTTTTAATCCAACTTTTTTAAGACTACAGGAAGGAGGTAATGTTAGATAGACTGGAATGCTATGGTCTTTGTTTTCTGAATGTTGAGTTTTAAGCTTCAGCATTATGCAAACCAAAAATTTCCAGATGTCCAAGCTGGGTTTAGAAAAGGAGGAGGAACTAGGGATCGAATTGCTAACATTCACTGAATTATAGAGAAAGCAAGGGATTTCAGAAAAAGCATCTCTGTTTCATCGACTACACTAAAGCCTTTGACTGTATGGATCATGACAAACTGCAGAAAGCTCTTAGAGAGATGGGAATTACCAGACCATCTTACCTGTCTCCTGAGAAACCTATATGCGGGTCAAGAAGCAACACCTAAGAACCCTGTAGGGAACAACTGATTGGTTCAAGATCGAGAAAGGAGTATGACAGGGTTGTCTGCTGTCACCCTGTTTGTTTAACCTATACGCTGAGCACACCATGAGAAATGCCGGGCTGGGTGAGTTACAAGCCACAATCAAGATAGGCAGGAGAAACATCAACAACCTCAGATACGCAGATGATACCACTTTAATGGCAGAAAGCAAAGAGGAACTAAAGAGCCTCTTGATGAAGGTGAAGGAGAGTGAAAGAGCCAGCTTAGGACTAAATAGTAAAAAAGACTAAGATCATGGCATATGGCCCCATTACTTCATGGCAAATAGAAGGGGGAAATGTGGAAATAGTGATAGATTTCTCCTTCTTGGGCTCTAAAATCACTGTGGATGGTGACTGCAGCTATGAAATCAGAAAATGATTGCTTCTTGACAGGAAAGCAATGACAAACCTAGACAATGTGTTGAAAAGCAGAGGTATTACTCTGCCAACAAAGGTCCATATAGTCAGGGCTATGGTCTTCCCAATGGTCATGTAAGGTTGTGAGAGTTGGACCATAAAGAAGGCCGAGTGCCTAAGAACTGATGCCTTTGAACTGTGGTGCTGGAGAAGACTCCTGAAAGTCCCTTGGGCAACCAGGAGATCATACCAGTCGATCTTAAGGGAGATCAACCCTAAAAATTCACTGAAAGGATTGATGCTGAAATTGAAGCTCCAGTATTTTGGTCATCTGATGTGAACAGACGACTCATTTGAAAAGTCCCTGATTCTGGGAAAGATTGAGGGCAGGAGGAGAAGAGGGTGTCAGAGGATGAAATGGCTGGACAGCATCACCAATCCAGTGAACATGAACTTGGGCAAACTCTGGGAGATGGTGAGGGACAGGGAGGCCTGGCGTGCTGCAGTCCATGGGGTCACAAAGAGTCGGACGTGACTGGGCACCTGAACAACAATAACAACCCAGATATCTGGTCTCACACCAGTGTGATGTTACTGTGAAAGCATTTCATGAGAGAAACACTGAGATGAATCAGCTTTGAGTAAAGTGGATAATCCTCCATAACATGAGGGGGAGGCTCATCCGGTCAGTGGGAGGACTTCAGAGGAAACAGAGATTGAGATCCCCTGAAGAAGAGGGAATTCTGCTTTCCAGTAGCCTTCACACAATTGCCTGGGTCTCCAACCTCCTGGCTTACATGTAGATGTGGGATTCACCAGCCTCCACAACCACATGAGCCAATTCCTTAAAAGAAAGCAATCTGTGTGTCTGTCTTTTTATCCATCCATCCATCCATCCATTTGTCCCTTTATCCATCCATCCTATTGGTTCTTTTCCTCTGGAGAACCCCTGAGTAATACAGGTACTTAAGATATTGGCCCAAGGACATACATGAGGAGCCAACAACACAGCTGGGAGCCAGATTATCATCACACCGGGTTATAGGATGGATACTTGGAAGCAAAGATCTTTAACATACTTCACAGCTTCCCCTTGAGGGTTGAGAGGCAATTCACATAGACTCAATATGTGCTGCAAAGTGGGTGCCGGAGAACAGGCAGAGCCCAAGTGAGGACAGCCTCTGAGATGGCAGGGGAGGAGGTATCACCCCGTTTGTGGTGGGAGAGTGGGGATTAATCCCCACACTGAGCCTTGCCCTCTGTGTTCTTGAAACCTCCAGCCAGCAGTCATCAGCCCTTTCCTGGCCCGCTAGATCTCAGTCTACTGAGCCTCCTCCTAGGCCCCCTGTCCCCCTTCTTTACCCTCAATTTCTCCTTCCTTGACAGCTGAGCATTTTCTAGAGAGGCTTCCTTGGCATTCACCTCTTTGCTTCCTACTCTTTCACTGCCCCCTGCCTCCCTGCCTCATCTCATAAGGTCTGGGGTCAGTCGGCCTCCACTGCCTTCTCCTGTAGTTACTGAGGTCTTTCCCCATGTCCAGTTGGTAACCAGAGCTGCTGAACTTATTTTCTTTGGGTCCCAATGCATCGCCTTTTCCCCTTCCCCTTTGCCTTCTTTCAATCCCTCCTCATTTCTCAACTGGGTTACCACAATGCCCTCAAGAACATCAGTGTCATGAAAGACCAAGGCTGAGGAGCTGTTCCTAACTAGAGCAGGCTGTGAGGCTTGAGAAATAAACATAAGAGCTAATCCTGAATCAAACACTTCGTCAGGGAACATGACAAAGAGCACCGCTGGGTCAACTAATAAAATCTGGTTATGAACTGTAGATTAGGTAACACTGTATCAGTGCTAAGTTTGCTATACCTTATCATTGTACCATGGTTATGTGTGAGAACCCCCTCATTCTTAAGAAATGCACCCTGAAATCTTCAGAGGTAAAACAAAACCATGTCTGCAACTTACCTTCAAATGGTTCAGTAAAAACAAAAGTGTGTGTGTGTGTGTGTGTGTGTGTGTGTGTGTGTGTGTAGAAAGAAAACATTAGAGCAAATAAAATTACCAATCAACAATTCTGGGTGAGGAGTGTATCAGTTCACTTTGTACTGTTCTTGCACCTCTTCTGTAAGCTTGAAATCATTCCAAAGTCAGTCTTTCAACAGATTTTTTTTTTAATGCATAAAAGCTTCTCAATTGGATTTAGTAGGATGCATTTGGGATCATTCCATGATCACGCTAGTTCTACACAAAATTAATTCACTAGTAGAAAATAATGAATTAAAGCCTCTTTCACACACACTGCAATAAATCTCACTTGGACCCAGCTCAAAATTCAGACCACATAGGAATGTCAGCAGCCAAAAGCTCCCTTCTTCAATTCAGAGCATCCCTGGGGCAGGACCTCCTGAGGACTTCCTTGGTTCCTCACAGAGTGTTTCAGATGGATATATAATTAATTGTCACACAGACAACTCCTGATGAACAGAACTCTGGTGCCAAAGGGAAAGCAATATTCTAGGGCAGTGGCAAGATTCTCCAGTGGGGGCAAGCAGCCTCTCTCCTGGTAGAGAACAGGAGTGGCAGTGTATCTGAGGTAGTGTGGTCATCTTCTATCAGGGAAGGTTCTTGCCACACTCCATACTGAAATGGATACAAACAGAGAGGATCTGCTGTGGGATGATGCAGGAGGACCTCAGGAAATGGTTGTTCGTCTGAATATATGCTTACACACTCTCCACCTGACTCTCCTGGTAGCTCTACAAAACATTCAGGACAGATAAAAACATCCCCATTTTATGAATGAAAAAAACCACATTGGGAAATTATGCAACTTGTTCAACATTCAGACAGTAATGGGGAGAAAACCTTGAATCTGAACTGGGAACTCTGTTGACCAATCTGTGGGGTTTTAAGGATTGGTTATAGATTGACCTCATTTCACAGACTGAGAGGTTTCTCAGGTTTTGGAAACCAAGCAGATGGCTATGCTCTCTAGGTTAAACCATACGATATATAAGTGGTTCTAAGGACTAAGCCACACCTCATGTGTAAAATTGGAATAATACTCACCTATATAGACATCACTGTGGAAATCTGATATGAATTACAAAACATTTTGATAGGTTGAAAAGAGCGATAAAATCGATTATTTGTAGTATTACTATTAAATGAAAAGTAAAAAAGAAAGTGAAAGTGTAGTCGTGTCTTACTCTTTGCCACCCCATGGACTATAGCCCGCCAGGCTCCTCTGTCCATGGGATTCTCCAGGCAAGAATACTAGAGTGGGAGGCCATTCCCTTCTCCAGAGGATCTTCTCTAGCCAGAAATTGAACCCAGGTCTCCTGCATTGGCAGGTGGGTACTTCACCATTTGAGCCACTAAGGAAGCCCATTACTATAAACAGCAGTAAGTCATATGTTAAAACAGCTTAGCCTTTTCCAGAATGACTCAGAAAAGCTAATGACCCATGAAAGTGAAAAGTGAAAGTTATTTTTGTGATCCTGTGGACCGTAGCCCACCAGGCTCCTCTATCCATGGAATTCTCCAGGCAAGAGTACCGGAGTGGGTTGCCATTTCTTTCTCCATAACGATCCATACCTCCTCCTTTTTCGGTAGCTTCGGCAGCTTTGGCGGTCTGGACGCTATCGGCAGGGCTGCCTTGCTCTGTCGGAGGAGGACGGCCCGTTTGGAGTTTCTTTGGCTGGTGTCCTCGTAATCCCCCATGTGCCAGGCGATAAAACCACGACTGGGGCTTCCTTCCGCATCCATAATAGAAGGATTGGGTTGCCTGAAACAGGAACAGATTGGTTGGTCCTCACACTGGAAGGATGTTAGAAATAAGGCCACCAGTTTTCAGATGCTGGAGACTCATCTGCTTCTGTTGTGATCGTGGTGATTTCTAGCCACAGAGCTTGAAAAGCTAAGGCCCCCAAGCCCTGAGCCAGCATCCTGAGAAGTTTCAATACTCTGCCCCTCCACTTCCCCAGGGAACTACCTTCCAAGGTGAACACTTATCTAGGAAGGTTATCGATCATTTTGTCTGGGTACCATGACTGCTCCAGGCATCCTTCCAAGCCGAACAGGTCAGATGCTGGGAAGCTGGGGGCGAGCCAGGCCTTGAGTTCTCCTGAAAGACACGCCGGCTGGGTCTGAGACCTCAGGAACTCAGGGAAATGCCAACTTGGTGATGGCAGACTCTGGCTTTGGACAATGAGCCACAGCAAAGATCCTGGCTTCATTCCCCTTTCCCAATCCAACACCCTTAAACTAGAATATTATCTGAGGACAGCTTGTCCATGGTAAAGGGCCAGGTCTCGGGGCAAAGACAAGAGGATCATAGGATAAGTATTCGCCATGGGCTCCCCTGGTAGCTCAGACGGCAAAGGACCAGGCTGCCAACTTAGGAGACCCAGGTTCAATCCCTCATTTGGAAGATGCCCTTGAGAAGGAAATGGCAACCCACTCCAATGCTCTTGCCTGGAGAATTCCACGGATAGAGGACCATGGAGGGCTACAGTCTATGGGGTTGCAAAGAGTCCGACGTGACTGAGCAACTAACACTCTCATTTGGAAGAAAATTGGAGCTTCCTACCCCCAAACCCCTCTTTACCAGGCGCCCAGGGCCTCTTGGCCACTGCAAAGCTTCTTTCCTAGACCCTGAGTCTTCTGGCTTCCTCAGTTCTTTGGGTCGAGGGTCGGGGCAGATCTGTGCAGCCCTCACTCCTGGCAAGTCCAACACTAGGGAAGTAACTTGAAGACAACTAAAGACAGGTGGGTTCTAGAACTTATGGGAATTGGGGCCAGGAGGAGAGGCAGCACTGAGCGGAGCTGAGTGGACGGGAAGATCCCTTCTTCCACCAGACCCCTCCTTCCTCTCCATAACCATAGAGCCCCTGTCACCTCTTGCAAGCCTGCCCCCAGACACCCCATTGCTAGTAGGACAGAGGTCCACTCTCCAAGTCCACAAAGGGGGGTGGTCGCTGTCTGTTTCTTTTTTTAATGCTCTGCCCACGGGGCCCCCAGGCCCCTCCCACTGGCCGTTTTCTCCCTGCCGAGACCCCTGTGCTCCCAGCCGCCCCCACCTCTACCAGCTCAGAGGAGGACTCACCTCCAGACCTCTGGCCTTGTCCCCTACTTTTCCTTCTCCCTGTGACCACCGTCTCCTTCAGGGACAAATGGCAGCTACTCCTTGACAACCCCTCTCCTCTGAAGACTTCCTTCACCCCTGTTGTCGTTCAGTCACTAAGTCATGTCGGACAGTTCGTGACCCCGTGGACTGCAGCACGCAAGGCCTCCCTGTCCATCACCAAGTCCCGGAGCTTGCTCAAACCCGTGTTCATTGAGTCAATGATGCCACCCAACCATCCCATCCTCTGTCATCCCCTTCTCCTCCCACCGTCAATATTTCCCAGGATTTGGGTCTTTTCTAATGAGTAGGCTCCTCACATCAGGGGGCCAAAGTGTTGGAGCTTCAGCTTTAGCATCAGTCCTTCCAATGAATATTCAGGGTGGATTTCCTTTAGGTTTGACTGGTTTGATTTTCTTGCAGTCCAAGCGACTCTCAGGAGTCTTCTCCAGCACCACACTTCAAGAGCATCAGTTCTTTGTCACTCAGCCTTCTTTATGGTCCAACTCTCACATCCGTACATGACTACTGGAAGATCTTTGATAGACCTTTGTCGGCAAAGTAATGTCTCTGCTTTTTAATATGCTGTCTACGTTTGTCATAGCTTTTCTTTCAAGCAGCAAGTGTCTTTTAATTTTGTGGCTTCAGTCACCATCTGCAGTGATTTTGCAGTCCAAGAAAATAAAATCTGTCACTGTTTCCACTTTTTCTCCATCTATTTGCAGGACTGGATGCCATGATCTTAGTTTTTTTTGTTGTTTGTTTTTTAACTATTTCCCTCCTTTGGTAGCACATTGTATTTGACTTATCTGATGGAAGCTGGTAGCATATACTTATTAATAAATTGCTAGTGAAGCAGGTTCTCCTCCTCCCATTTCAGGGCTCCTTAAAGAACCCAGAAGTGCCTCCTTCATCACTGCCTCCCAGGCGCGTTACCCTCCTGAAGCATGGCCAGCCCAGGGGATCTTTGATGGATGAGGAGGGAGAGGATCAGAGCTGAGTTACTTTAAGGCCCGACCCTTCTGCAGTTACTTCCCTCCCACCAGGGCAGGTATGAAGGCATGGATCCTGGACCCTCCTGGGTCTGAGTTTTCTTATTCATGACTACAGAGTAATTGCCAGGGACAATTTTAGGAAAGCGTAAAGGGAAAGAGAGCTGCTGGTTAGAATGTATGGAACAGGCACTGTTTACTGTTTCCACTAGCTTGATTCATGATTCCTAGGAAAACCATTTCATACAAATGTGCCACATTTCCCTAAAAATAATATATTACAGAAGGAATGACACAGAAGAGCTTAGAAAAGAAAAATCCTTGCATGTCCTTAGTCTTCATTCAAGTGCTAAAATATTTTATAATCTGTTTTAAATTCAGACCATCCTATGGCCCTGAATCTCACATTACCAGGAACAGTAGAAAATTAAAAATTAATTGTAAGTCAGAGACTTTAGAGATCTTATACATACAATTGCCACATCAACTATGGGAATTTACACACACTATAATGGAACTTACAAATGAGCCATAAAAGTCAAAAGCTGCTGAAAGAGCAGAACGTTTGGCTCTAGAAAGTTTTGAAGTATGAATGTCAGGCCATCAGTAATGATTTGGTGTTAGTTACAAATGCACAAAGGCAGCGAACACTCACACACACACACATAGACACACACACACACAGACACACACACACACACACACACACACACACACACACCACTATCCCCAAGTAGTGCAAATATTTCTAATGTAACATTCTATTGATTATGTTAAGTAGACCCCTAAGGCTCAGGTCTTTTTCTTTTTAAATAAATTCAAGCTTATAGAAAGATGGAGGCACACCATAAAGGCTTCTTTTCCTAAACAATTTGAAAGTACATTATTGACATATTACCCATTATTCCCAATTACTTGGTTGGCCAAAAAGTTCCTTCAGTTTATGGTCATGAAATGTTATGAAAAACTGCAAAGACGCTTTTTGGCCAACTCAATACCTACATGTGTAATTTCTGCAAACAAAGACATTCTATATAACTTCAATATAATCATCAAAATTAGAGGAAATTAGCATAAACAGCAAAATAAAAAATAAACAAGTAGGACTACATCAAATTAAAAAGCTTTGGTACTGCAAAAGAAACCATCTATGAAGTGAAAACACAACTTATGTAATGGGGAAAAATATTTGCAAACTGGCTATCTGATAAAGGGCTAATATCCAAAATACATAAAAAACTCAAAAGAAAAATTTAAAAATATGCCAATTTTTAAATGGGCAAAGGGTCTGAAGAGACATTTTCCCATTTTCTCCTTTAGAGATACATGAAAGGCCAACACACACATGAGAAGATGTTCAACATCACTAATCATTAGGGAAATACAAATTAAAACTATAGTAAGATATCCCCTCACACCTGTCAAAATGGCCATCATCAAAAAGACAAAAAATAACAAGTATTGGTGAGGATGTAGAGCAAAGGGAACTCTTAAACACTGTTGGCAGGAATGTGAATTGGTGCAACCACTATGGAAACAAGTACAGAGGATCCTCAAAATAATTAAAAACAGAACTGCCATAAGCTCTGGCAATTCCACTTCTGGGAGTATATCTAAAAGGAACAAAAACACTAAATTGAAAAGATGTTTGCACCCCAATGTTTACAGCAGCATTATTTATAATAGCCAAGACATGGAAACAACCCAAGTGTCTGTCAATGGATAAATGGATAAAGACATTGTGGTATACACCTATATAACGTCTATTCAGTTCAGTTCAGTCACTCAGTCGGGTCCAGCTCTTTGCGACCCAGTGGACTGCAGCATACCAGGCCTCTCTGTCCATCACCAACTACCAGAGATTACTCAAACTCATGTCCATTGAGTTGGTGATGCCATTCAACCATGTCATCTTCTGTCATCCCCTCTCCTCCCGCCTTCAATCTTCCCCAGCATCAGGATCATCTTTCCAATGAGTCAGTTCTTCGCATCAGGTGGCCAAAGTATTGGAGTTTCAGCTTCAGCATCAGTCCTTCCAATGAATATCCATAATAATGCGTATTACTCAGTCATTTAAAAAAAAAAAAAACAAGGAAATCCTACCATTTGTGACAAGATGGATGAAGCTTAAGGGCACTATACTAAGTGATATAAGTCATACAGAGACAACTACTATATGATCTCACTTGTTTGTGGAATCTCAAAAAAGCAAAAAACAAAACTCACCAAATTCAAAGAAAAAAGAGTTCAGATTTATGTTACCAGATGCAGGGCACAGGGGAAAGGGAAACTGGATGAATGTGGTCAAAAGCTGTAAACTTTTAGTTGTAAGATAAATTCATACTAGGGGTGTGATGTACAACATGATGACTATAGTTAACGCTGATATATGAGAAACACAAACTGATCTTTAAGAGTTCTCAACATAGGAGAAATGTTTTTTTTTTTCTTTCCATTGTATCCATATGAAATGATGGATGTTAACTAAACCTATTGTAGTAATCATTTCACAACGTGTGTTAACCAAGCCACCATGCTCTACCCCCTTAAATTTGTACAGTAATGCATGTCAATTATTTCCAATATCCCTTGGTGCGGGTATTCAAGGAAATCAGAAAATTAACATTTGTATTACTAATACCCAATTCTCAGACACCATTCAGATTCTGC